AAACTGTGAAATATGCAGATGACCTTGTGTTAATGGCTAAGGAAGAAACTGTGCTACAGGGCATGATTGATAGACTAATTGAAATTGGAAGGTGCTATGGCATGGAAATGAATGTGGAGAAAACAAAAGTAATGAAAATTTCGAAACAACCAACCCCAGTCACAATAAAGATAGACCAAAAACAACTGGAGAATGTGAAATGTTTTAAATATTTGGGTAGCTTGTTAACGGATGATGGAAGGTGTAGTAGTGAAATTAAATCCAGGATATCCATGGCAAAAGCTGCATTTAGCAAGAAAAAGAATCTTTTTACCAGCAAATTGCACTTAAATTTGAGGAAGAAACTAGTGAAATTCTACATTTGGAGCATAGCTCTGTATGGGGCTGAAACATGGACACTTAGGGCAGTAGATCAGAAACATCTGGAAAGTTTCGAAATGTGGTGTTGGAGAAGGATGTAGAAGATCAGTTGGACCGATTGTGTGAGAAATGAAGGAGTGTTAATTAGAGTCAGTGAGCAGAGGAATATCCTACACGAAATAAGAAAACGGAAGGCTAATTGGATTGGTCATGTTTTACGCAGAAACTGCCTTCTAGAAGAAGTTATTGAAGGAAAGATAGAGGGGCAGATAGAAGTGACAAGAAGACGAGGAAGAAGACATAAGAAGATGCTGGATGACCTTGGGGACAGAAGAGGATACTGTCATTTGAAGGAGAAAGCTCTAGATTGTATTAAGTGAAGGAATTGTTTTGGAAGAGACTGTGGACCTGCCGTCTGACAGATTACTGATGATGATGATGATGATGATGATGATGTCATTATGTACGAAACTTGGTGCCACTATTTTGAACCCGAAAGCAAACGGCAGAGCCAACAGTGGAAGCACGTGAGTTTCTCCACCACCAAAGAAATCCAAAGCTGTACACACAAGTTCCGGTAAAGTGATGATGACCTTCTTCGACTGTAAGGACCCTCTCCTTGTCGAATTTCTTGAGCATGGGACGACAATCAGTGCACAGCGCTATGAAGACACTTTGCAGAAACTGAGACATGCCATAAAGTCAAAACGCCCTGGAATGCTATCGAACGGCATTATCCTTCTTCATGATAATGCGCGCCCCCACACTGCCAACTCTGTGAGGAATACGCTACAGAAATTTGGTTTGGAAGTGCTTCAGCATCCCCCCTACAGCCCAGATCTCTCCCCATGTGATTTTCACATTTTTGGAGACGTGAATAAAGACATTCATGGACATCGGTTTGCATCAGACAAAGACAGGCTGGGTAAAGATGTGGTTTTGTAGACAGCCCACAAGCTTTTTCAAGGATGGGATTGACCGTCTTATCTCCCAGTGGGATAAATATATTAACAGTTTTGGAGATTACTTTTGAGTTAAGAAATGTTCTTTAATATATTTTGGCTTCTGACCCATTTTCATTTGACTGCCCCTGATATAAATTTTTAGACAACTTTATGAAAGTTCCTTAATTTTAATCCCTTAATGTATGTCATTAGCCAATCACAGCTGGTGCGCAATTTAAGGCATGAAGTGTCTTCGCTCAATCGAACGCTGGGATCGTGGGTTCAAAACCCACTCAAGGCATGGATGTATGTGTATGCGTCGATTCTGTGTTTGTGTTGTCCTTTGTGTAGGTAGTGGCCTTGCGATGAGCTCATCACTCATCCAAGGAGTCCTACTGACTGTGTAAAAATATTATGAAACTGAAGAAGAGGCCAGGTCCCAACAAAGGGCTGTAGAGCCATTGATGAATGAATGAATGTATGTATGTCATTGGGATCAGTTTTTCAGAGCCTCTAGATATGCCCATGAACTTGAACTAAATAAATTTAATTGTTTAATTAAAATGTAATAAACNGAGAGATACAGATACTTAGTTGTGGCAGCCAGAGGTAGTGAGGGAGATGCCTATAACGTTTTGAGAAAAGTAATACATATCAGAAATTTATCCTTATTTAAATTTCTGCTATTATCATATCTTTTATCAACTGTCATTTCTTTTCTTTCTCCACTTCCTGCCAATATGATGTGGCATACAGAAATATCCAGCTTAAAACTAAGTGTTATGCTGTATGAACTTCATGTCTACTAAATGGCTAGCTTATCAAAATATTGAATATGGAGAAAAGTGAAGCATTATGAATAAAAAATTTTAATATTAGGAAGTTACTTTATGTCTAATTGAACCTACCTTTAATAAATAGAGTAACATTGGTGATACAGAAGTAATAGTAGTAGAAATGGAAGTAGAATTAGAATACTACTACTGCTGCTGCTGCTGCTTTTACTACTGTTACCACCACCACCACCACCACCACGACTACTACTTTCATCCAAGAACTCCTATGTGATTTAACAGAAATGTTTTTCTAACTAGATTTTGTTAGAAGAGAAATATTTGGTAATGAAGATATGAAACAGTGCAGTTGAGTCTTATATCTTCCAAATAAAATTTAGTTTTTGGCCCTTGTCTTTTTTATTTCTTTCTAACAGATCTTGGGTATGGCTATGTGTGAACTTAATCTCAATTTGCGGCTATAAGAGAAATTCTGGGAATAAAAGTTTTCTCAAGTAACAAAATTAATGGCAAAAGCATATGAAATGATCCACTGATCCAGCTTTCAGTAATCTCTTAAATGGAAAAAACATAATGCTTAAAACTGTCATAATTAATGTATCTGCCTCACTGAAAGATCTAGTACAAAAGTTGGAAGCAAATTATATATTAATTAAATTTTAGCCATCATGTGGAAAGTTGACATTATAGAAATATCAGTAAAAAAATAAAGTAAAAGTGAAGGTATCCCTGTAACAGGCCGTGGAGGCCCATAGGGTTGTGAGATGTTGAGGTTCCCACATTTTCTAGACAATCAGCTTATAGATGGCGGCAAGGTTGTCAGCCCTGTGCGCCAGCCACCCTTTACCCCCAAGAATATTTCAAGAATATTCCTGTTACTCATTTCTGTTAGATGTTGAGTCGACCCCAGGGCCATAGTGCGGCTGGAAGGATTAGGTCAGTTTAAAGAATCCAATGACCTTCCAGCTTGTAGCATTAGTGCCTCAACCAACTATGCTACCACATGCCCCCAAGCAGTAAGCCTCTAAAATATAGGCAAGACTGTTTTATGTGTCTGAAATAAACCCCAAGCTCAAGTATTTGTTGTGTCATTTACATTTACAGGTCTTAAGGAAGCAGTGGTAACAGAATTACAAGAAGGCGACCTTTTCTTCTCAGTAACCTCCTATGTGGCTGAAAATGAAGATTCCATTAACCTCGTTGAAGGAGAACGTGTTTATGTGCTAGGTAGGTACATATTATTAAATCTGACAGTGATTTGTAAGCTAATAACATTCTGTATAGAGCGTACTAAACATTCTCTAGAGATGGTATTATTTAAGAGAACCTAAAGGTTTATTGCTCTGTTCACAAAATGAATGCAGTTTAAACCGTCTTTAAATACAGTAGTAGACATAAAATATACTTATAACAAAGTGTTCATGTGCAATATATAGATGAAAATAAATTTAGGGCTTGCTGTGTAGTATGTTTTCTATAATAATAGGAGTATTTCTGCTTTAATTTTTTTAAAATTGTTAAATATTTGTAATAATCCTTCTGACATGTATAGCATTCAGTATTCTGGAAATCTGTTTTGTGGCAGTGTATAGTGTGAAAAATTGTTTGCATTCTATAGTGTTGATTCAGAAATAGTACTAATTAGACTGCCATAATCTGCACTTACCTTCATTTTTGACATCTCCAATACTGGAAAATAATTTAAGTCTGTAGAATGTTATCTTTATATCAATGAACTTATCATCAGTATGTGAATGAGAACTTTCTTCTCAAGAACACTCTATGTTTTGTTAACAAATTTTGAGTTAGCATCCTACATTTGCCTGCAGCAGGGAAGGAAATCAATTAAATTCCTGAAATTTGGGTTATAATAGACTGTAGGAAGTTCCCTCAGTGGTCCAAATTTACCCTTACATCATTTCACTCAAATATTTTGTCTCAGTATTATATTGTAACATATAGACCTCTTACCAGGTAGCAATTGCAAACAGAAAGATTCCCACAGCAACAAATTAGCACACAACAAAAGAGGAACTGTTGGAAGCGGTGTTTTTTGTGGTCTGCGCCGCGGCTGTTGCTATGCAATGGCGTGGTAAACTCGACTCTACAGCAACAGTTGAACTACAATAATAGAAAAGCTGTGTTTTTTTTACATTTTCCGTGCCAGGGGGGGTTATAAGCGGGATGAAGTTTAGCGCTTAGTTAGTTGAAAGTCACTCTGTGAAGAGAAGACAAGGAAGTTGGTGTGAAATGGCCACCAGCCTGGAAGATGTTGGTTGAAAGTCAGTCTGTGAAGACAAGACTAGGAGGTTGGTGTGAAATGACCGCCACTATGGGAGTTAGTTGAAGCACTGAGAGAATTGTAAGGGAATCTGTAAAGAAAAGACTTGGTCGGTGCAGTTGAAGAATCTCCACTGTTTGAAGCCGTTACCAGGAAACTACTTGTGGAGACTGTAACAGACTGAAAACATTAGTGTCTGTGCTCTAGTGATTATTAAAGTGTAAAAATAAGTGATGGCGCTATAATTAGCCGTGTTTGGAGTTGTATGTTAAAATGGTCAATAAATCCAAACTCTGATGAAATAATAGTAAACATTGTCTTACACACAATATGACACAGTATAATATTTCTAGTCTGAAAAAAAAGTTCACCTAATTTCTGGGGAACTTACTGCCTTCATCTTCAGGATCAAAAAGTAAGTCAAGCAAGAAACCATCAAGAAGTAGGTGACAATAAGAACCAAGCTTGCAACCTGCTTTATGCTGGTTTCTTGTTTGGCTTATTCCTTGACCTTGAAGGTGGAGGCATTACTTTCCTCTGAAATGTCTGTGAACTTCTGTCAGATTATATAACATTACCTTCCAGAAGATAGTACCCTTCATAGTCACCACTATGAGAACCTCAACTCCCAAATTTCTCTGTAAGGTAAAAAGGAAAAGTTATCCCTGTAACAATTTGATGTACACAGATTTAATGAGAAGTCAATTTTGAGTCATGCTCTGATGTAGAAACATGTGTATTGTATTGTAGAAACATGTGTATTTTATTGGACAAAATGTGATACAAAGCAATTTCTGTTTGTTGGCCTAGTATAGTGATTCAAGATGTAGCACTCTTAATGACTAAGGATCTTGGGTGTGATAAATATACTGCTGAATTTAGGCTTTTACAGTGGTTAATTCTGTTCTTGGATTGTTGCAGCTTGTGGTTGTTGGCGATGTTACTGACATTTTGGAGTTATGCTTCCTCCATCTTCACGGTCAAAGCTGGAGGCATCATGTATCTCCGAAATGTCAGCAACATCACCAAGAACCACACGTCGCAACAACCAAACATAGAATTAACATAAGTAAATCAGTCTTGCTGTTCCTTTATTTTCTGCACTTTCAAATAAATGAAATGAAACTGAAGTCAATATAGGGATCCTCAGAGGCAAAAAATATACATTTATACATTAAAATAGAATACACCATATTTGATTGTAATAGCAGCCTACAAAATTACACCTCTATGTTTTTTACTTGCACTGTAGAGCAACTTAACTCTGACTGGTGGTTTGTGAGGAAATATCTGACACAAGAAAAGGGTTTGGTACCAGCTCATTTGCTCCAAGATGAACCCAGCTATACAGCCTATGTACAAAAGAAAGTCCATCAGAAGATTGACAGATTGCCAGTGTTTGAAAGTAAGTATCTGTGAAAACCTTCTTTATGAGTCGAATTAATTTTATTTTGAATGAAACCTATTATTTTACTGAAAAGTACTAATGTATTATTTATGGGGATCATAGGGCTGCGCCATAGCTCAAGCGGTTAGTCACTGGCTTCCCACCGCAGTGGCCTGGGTTCGACCCCGGGTCTCGTTAAGTGGGATTTGTGGTGGACAAAGTTTCGCTGGGGCAGGTTTCCTCCAAGTACTTCGGTTTCCTCTGCCAATCTTCATTCCACCAATTGCTCCACAATCACCCTCACCTATCATCTGGGGCTGGTACAATAGGCCAGAAGAGGCTGCAGTACAAGGGACTTAGTCCCACCCTACTAGCAATAAAAAAATATAGGGATCATAGCTCATAGCTTCATGAAGAGCATTCACTTTTGTGTGAGTCAAATTAATTTTATTTTGAATGAAACTTATTATTTTATTGAAACATGCTGATGTATTATTTATGGGGATCATAACTTGCAGTTTGAAGAAGTATCATATTTCATCGCTTAATAAATCTTTATTTTCCAAAATTTGGTGAGCATAAACATTGATATGTGATTTTCATGATGATTAATAAAATGGAGTAGAATATAATTTATTTACATTTCACATGGCTGTAGTTGTGCTAATCCAAGAATGTAGAACATGTTATAATACAATACCAGTAAAAATATAGTCCTAAATATAGTATAGTTGTTATAGCTGTTTGCAGATTTATTCAGATGTATGGTAAGAATATTTTATTATAAAGAGCAAAATAATTCTCTTGGTGTGTTTGCAGCAATACTTGAGAGCTTTTAACTGAAGTCAGTACTTCTATGCAGCATGATTTTGTCATATGCAAGAATTATTTCTGTTATTTTGAGTAAAGAATACAGTAACTTTACAGAAATTCTTGGCATTAAGCACACAAGCTATATTATTTACATTATAATACCATGGAATCTATGCAGGACCAACAACAGGTGAGCATAAAACTGCCCCGCGCTTTGTGCAGAAGTTGCAGCCCAAACACGCACAAGATGGCACAACATCGCAATTTGAATGCCAAGTTGAAGGAAATCCAAGACCACAGATCACATGGTTCAAAGAAACTGCAGTTATTCTTCCATCGCAAGACTTTCAGGTTAGATATGAAAGTGATAGAAAAATCTCTGTGTTTCTTTATTTCTTTCTCCTCACTTTCTTTATTTCCTTCATAAAATTATTGAGCAGTAAAATCTGCAAATCCCCAGATATTTCTTTTCTTACAGGAGAGATAATTTGTAAATGTCACATAGGAGTCACTGGCAACATAGAATGAATGATGACTTGTAGAGCCTCGTTTCAGTTGCTGTTGAGAATCTGAAACAGCAACAAGAACTAATCTTGAAAAGACAGCAGGTATATTTTTTGAAGTAATGAGGAATTCATTTTAAATTTTGATGAATTTATATCACCTTTCCATTCCATTTTTGGTATGTTCGCAATGAGAAGTTGCATATGCCTGTTAACTTTGTCACGTCTGTCTCTCTGTCCCTCTGCCCTTCATCTGGCCACATGTAAGAACCTGAAAATTACGTACGTAACTGATTTTTATGAGATACGATATTTTGTAGTTTTGATAAGATTTTTTGGCAGATTCCATTGTTATTTAAAATTAGGCAACAATAAAGACCACTTTTCATGAATATTGTGTTTAAGCATCCTGTTGTATTGTTGTATTTATTTTGCATGCATATGAATATTTCTGTCAGAAATGCATTTGAAATTGAAATATATGAATACAAAATAAAAACTTTACATGACGATTCATGTTTTCTTCCATGCACTTCAAGTATAACTACCCGAGATTTTATCCGAGGAAGAAATATTTATATATATTTGTGAAATTCTGTTTTCACTTTATAAGATTGTTATCTACTGGGATATAATACCATGCATTTCATATTCCGTTCAGATAGCAGTTCCTTGCGTCCATGTGGCGGTGAACTAAATCTTGATTGCAGTAAATACAGACAGGTCATACTTTACATATACAATGTCACACAAATTCAAAACAGCTGCAGGGCTGTCATAGAACTCTTTTGTGCTTTCAGTTATATTATGATGAAGATAATGTGGCTACACTCATTATCAGAGAGGTATTCCCAGAAGATGCTGGGAAGTTCACCTGTGTAGCAAAGAATGCTGCTGGTTTTGCATCCACTACCACAGAGCTAATTGTAGAAGCTCCCCTATCAGACCATGGCTCTGACACGACGATCTCTATATCAAGAAAGAGTCTTTCAAGGTAATTATTTTCATTTTAGTTCTTTAAATGTTGGAATGTTCAGCCAGCAAAATCTCCGTGGATGAAAATTACATTTTATTTTCATGAGCTCTTTGTAGGTTGTGTGGGGTTCTCTTAATGTGTAGTCTTGTCATTACTCCTATGACAACCCACTTCTTCGGAACAGTTTGTTGGCCCTGTAAAGGACCGTGGCTGCTGAGATGTTTGACCGGTGAGGTAGCGCGGCGTGCACCAGTAAGGAGAAAGGCTAGTTACTGTGAATGGCTGGTGAAAGGCTAGTCGTTGAGCGCGGTCGCTGGAGCGGAGAGGCGGTAGCTACGCCAGTTGCCCAGTGTGTCAGGTATGGCTACTGGCGAGTCCATGCGGCCTAGTTGCCCAGTGAGTCGGGTGTGACCGGCAGACAGCCGTGGCAGTCATGCCTGGTGCAGTGAAGCTCCGAAGCCTCCGTAGACCAAGCGCTGGTGACAAAGCCTGCTGGCTGATGTTGCTTGGTGTGGCTAGCTCGTAGACTGATGATGAACTGCGTAACTCGGCGTTGGAGCCGCTCCTTTTTATACACTGCTTGGTGGGGCGGAGCGAAACTCGAAATTGAGGAGGAAGAATTGATTGGCTAGCGCGCGTAATGGTGTAGATGTGGGCTAGCGCCGAGCGTAGTATAAATGCGATCGTTTGAAGCAATCTGATTGGTTAGCGTGCGTGATGGTGAAAAGTGATGTGAAGAGCGAGCGTTGCAGAAATGCGTGATAATGTGGGATGTTCCCACATCACTCCCCCCCTTGCGAGAAGTGATGCTGCTTGCGAATGGTCTGCGGCGTGTATGTTGAGCCGTGATGATCCAACGTAGGAGTCGTTGCTGATGTTCACCACACGCGCTTCCAATCACGTCGGGGTCACCAATGTGGGTAGCTCGTAGACTGATGATGAACTGCGTAACTCAGCGTTGGAGTCGCTCCTTTTTATACACTGCTCGGTGGGGCAAGCGAAACTTGAAATTGAGGAGGAAGAATTGATTGGCTAGCGCGCGTAATGGTGTAGATGCGGGCTAGCGCCGAGCATAGTATAAATGCGATCGTTTGAAGCAATCTGATTGGTTAGCGTGCGTGATGGTGAAAAGTGATGTGAAGAGCGAGCGTTGCAGAAATGCGTGATAATGTGGGATGTTCCCACATCACTCCCCCCCTTGCGAGAAGTGATGCTGCTGCTTGCGAATGGTCTGCGGCGTGTATGTTGAGCCGTGATGATCCAACGTAGGAGTCGTTGCAGATGTTCACCACACGCACTTCCAATCACGTCGGGGTCACCAATGTGGGTAGCTCGTAGACTGATGATGAACTGCGTAACTCAGCGTTGGAGCCGCTCCTTTTTATACACTGCTCGGTGGGGCGAGCGAAACTCGAAATTGAGGAGGAAGAATTGATTGGCTAGCGCGCGTAATGGTGTAGATGCGGGCTAGCGCCGAGCGTAGTATAAATGCGATTGTTTGAAGCAATCTGATTCATTAGCGCGCGTGATGGTGAAAAGTGATGTGAAGAGCGAGCGTTGCAGAAATGCGTGATAATGTGGGATGTTCCCACAGTTGTATAAGACTGCACCTATGTTTCTTGAACATCTGAAATCACTGAGAAAAGTGTTTATGTTTTTCGTATAGCAAAGCTTTCAGAACTCTGGGAGTGATGCCAGAACTCTGAGGTCTTGGTAGGACAATATTCTGATTTTTTTGTATATTAGAAGAGTACAATTTCATACAGGGATATCGTGGCTTGTAGATTAAACTTTTACATCTGTATGAATCAGGAAATTTAAATCAAACACCTAGAAGCATCAGACCTCCCCTTTAGATCTGTACTCTTTAACCATGTCAGAAATAAATTAAGAAAACTTCACTGAATCATTGCTAGTGCATATAATCAGAACTGATGTCAATCAGATTATAACACTCTTACAATGGCATGTCATTTTGATATTACTGATTCCAAAGAATGGTTGAATACTTACGAGACCTTTTCTGTTAAGGAATATCATTCAAAAGAATTACATTCCCATTGCTTAAAATATTAGACACTGTAAATTTAAATCTTATTTTCCAGGTTCATATACAGCATATTTGTTAAAAGAATCAGCCACAATATGAAAGGATTTAAAAATTCTTGTTTTCTAAGCTCCTAGAGTAGGCACCATTTCAATAATTTTCTTGGCACCACATCAGTTAACTTTTGAATTTGTAATTGTACGTAGGTTGTACCGAAAGTCATGAGCAACTTTTTTTGCATGCAACCTGGGAACAGCAGATGAAAGAGAGTACAGTGGTAGGTGCAACCAGCTGTTGTGTTAACCTTGAGTGTTTTGTGATGTCAATAGCCTGCATCACGTGACCAGCATCACTCCTAACAAAATGGCCGACAACGATATGTCGTTTCGCCAGCATGCTGTCATCGAATTTCTTGTGAAAGAGGAAATCTCTGCTGCAGAAATTCACCAGAGACTTCAGCGTGCTTATGGAAGTGTGTGCATGGGTGCGAGCAGTGTTCGAAGATGGGTGAAACATTTTAAAGATGGGAACACCAGCATCGAAGATGAGCCTTGGAGCGGTCGTCCTCGAATAGCCCTAACTGAATGCAACAAGGAAAGAGTGGATGAGATCATTCAAGATGACAGGCATGTGACTGTGGACACAATAGCCTGAAAACTTGGAATAGGGCACAGTGCAGTACAGGAGATGATTGAAAGCTTGGGCTATAGGAAAGTTTGTGCTCGTTGGGTCCCGCGGTTATTGACCGAAGACCACAAAGGTCAGCGAAAAGCCATCACCTCAAAACTGCTGCAGAGATATCGACACGAAGGCGATGATTTTTTGCTCTGTATTGTGGCAGGTGACGAAAGCTGGTTTCACCATTTCGAGCCTGAAATGAAACAGCAGAGTATGGAATGGCACCATTTGCATTCTCCATCAAAAAAGAAGGCAAAGACAGTGCCATCAGCTGCGAAGGTGATGGGCACAGTCTTCTGGGATGCAGAGGGGTTTATTCTGGCCGAATTCCTGGAACCTGGGCAAACCATCAATGCTGCTCGTTATGTCCGGACGCTGCACAAGCTCCGTCGTGCATTGCGTGATAAACGTCCGGGCCGAAACATCATCATTCTTCATGACAACACTTGCCCCCAAAGATGGGGTGGGAAGTTCTTCCTCACCCCTCCTATAGCCCTGATCTGGCACCCTCCAACTACCATCTTTTTGGATTTGTGAAGGATCAGCTGCATGGACAACGTTTTGAGACAAGGGAGGCAATTCAGAAAGCAGTGCATCAGTGTCTTCGGATGGCTGGAATGGAATTTTACAGAAGGGGAATTTTCAAACTCCCAGAACGCTGGGAGAAATGTATATAAAGAAGTGGCAATTATGTGGAAAAAATAAAGAAAGGTCTGTAGATTGAGGTGGTGCATTTGATTTGTCAATAATAAAGCATGTTACTTTACAAAAAATTGTTGCTCATGACTTTCAGTACGACCCTCGTAAAAGGAAATTTTTGTCTAAATATGCGCTTTTATGGAATCATCTTTTAGAAGAACCCCAGCTTCCAAAGAACACAGTGTGGGAACTGCAGGTATAGAGTTTACCAATCTGACAAGAAGCTCAGTGGGAGGTTTTTATTCCAGAGTAGTTTACACATTTCTTATCATAACTTTATTACTAATAAAAATAACTTTTAAACTGCCATAGAAGGGAGGACAAGGAAGACACTATTGCCCAGGGTTGGATATATAATTTGAACGAACTTGCCAAGTACAGGGCAAGTCCAGACGTCAATGAATCTCCACCGAAAGGTGGAAAAGAAGAAAGAGAAAATGAAGATAGTGAAAGTGAGAACTTGAGAGATTATGATTGTGATTGTGACCAGACAGTGGGTGTACTCAAAAATATTATAGAGGGAAATGACATCAGTAATCAACCAAAAGTAATAGAAACAATCCTTGATCGGGAAAGAGAACACAGTGATAGAAGAAAAAGAAGACCACCTACCAGAAATGAGGATTCTTTATGGGAGGAAAATCAAATAAGTCTCATTTCAATAAGTGTAATTATACTAAAGACTCTCTAATTCTTGTACATCAAAATATCAGAGGGCTTGGAGGCAAAACTGATGAATTGAAGTGTTCAATAGTTAGCAATAATATAAATCCTCACTTAATATGCTTATCAGAGCATCACATGTCTGACCAAAAATTATTATACAGCAATTTCCTGAACTATTTATTGGGAACAAAGTATGCCCATATGACTCATCAGGGAGGAGGTGTTTGTATATACTGCTATAAATCTAGCACAGTTCTGTGATGAAAAGAACATAGAAATTTGTACACTCAAGATTTCTTTAGCTAAAACTAACATATTTGTACTGTGTATATATAGGTCACCCTGTGGGAATTTTGAGTACTTTATAAATAAGTGGGATAAAGTACTCAAATTACTCTATAAACCAAAAATTGAATTTATATTATGTCGTGATTTTAATGTAATTTTTTTAGAAGAATCAACTCATAAAACACAGCTATGAGTGCTGTTGCAATCATATAATATATTTCAGTACAGTTCCCAACAAGAGTAACTGTGACCAAAAGCTCTGCTATTGATAATATTGTTATAGATAAGGCCAGGATAAATTCATATGAAGTAATCTCTCTTAGTAATGGACTGTCTGATCACGATGCTCAGTGTCTTGTACTAGAAAATATCAATTTCCTGGAGAAGAAAAAAGTGCAGGGAATCACAAGAAGATTAGTAAATTAAGACACAATTGCTCAATTTCTTAATAAACTATCTAACGAAAAATGGGAAAATATATATAAACTAAATGATGTAAACGAAATATTCAACTCATTTTTAAATAAGTATTTACATGTCCTTGAGTTGTGCTTTCCAAAGCAAAATGTAATAAATAAACTCAAGGATAATGACTGGATAACAGCTGGTAGACGGAAGGAATCCTTGTTCATTCTCTGTTGAAACAATTACAACTATTTGTTTAAATCATACTATAAATCCTACTGCATGATATTAAGAAGAGTAATAAGAGAAGCTAAAAGGAAATATTATAATCAGTTAGTCACATCAGCTGAAAAGAAAATAAAAACTACCTGGAACATTATCAACACTGAAACAGGTAGGACTAACAATCAGAATAAAGGACGTCTACTTCAGACGTTTCAAAATAATAATAAAAAAATAAATACTGAAGAAGCAGCTCATAGTTTTAATAAATATTTCAAAACAATCACAGAAAATCTTAATATAAAGAAATTAATGGTATTCCAGATATGAATCTTAATTTAGTTGCAGAAGAGGAAATAATTAGTATAATTAGCAAATTAAAATTGAAAAACTCTTCAGTGTAACAAATAAAATTATAAAAATGTGCAGACAACAAATTAGTAATTAATAAGTCATTAACCATGGGTCTCTATCCAGAAAGATTAAAATATGCAATTATTAAGCCAGTATACAAAAAATGGGAAAAGGCTGTTATAAGTAACTACAGGCCAATATCTATAGTAACTAGGTTTGCAAAAGTTTTTGAAACAGCAATTTTTAGAAGACTCAATGATCATGCCATAAAACATAAAATATTTCTTTCAGAGCAGTATGGATTCCAAAAGGGATTGTCTACCAAAGATGCAGTGTTTAAATTAACCAATGTAATGCTTACAGCTTGGAATTGAAAAGAGTATGTAACTGGTATATTTTGTATTTGACTGTATTAATCTTGATCTTCTATTAATGAAACCGCAGTACTATGGAGTACAGGGTGTATTGTGGCAGTGGTTTAAATCTTACCTCCAATATAGGAGGCAAAGAGTGGAATTAAGTGGTGGAGCTATATCTCCACTTCTCCATATGCCATCATGGCATAGTGCTTAATTTATTAAGCATAGGGCCAACTATATCTCTGCAGTTTTATCACTAATAGTTCTACAGTATGTGTGTTTTATTATTTTCAGGGAATCTTCCCTTGCTGACATTCTGGAAGGCATTCCACCCATGTTCTCACGAAAACCTAAAACTGTTTGTGTGGATGAAGGCAAAGATGTGGAACTTGAGAGTCGTCTGGTAGCTGTTCCTGAGCCCCAGGTGACATGGTTCTGTAATGGCAAGGAAATAAAAACATCTGGCAATGTCACTGTGATCTCTCAGTCAGACATGCACATGTATACAAGTATTGTGCGCATTAAGAAGGTGAAGAAGAGCCAGGAGGGAAGTTATGAGATGGTTGCTAAGAACAGAGAGGGAGAAGCTGCTGTGCAGCTGACTGTGAAGGTAATGATGATCAGAGAGTGAAAATAGTACAAATACATGAGAGACAGACATAAACCATTATAGCATCTTGATTTAATTAGAAGTACAATGCTGGATACCTTTTCTATCACTTTCATCTTCATTGACATATGACACTGAAACATACATGTAATATTCTTATACATTTATTTACAAGCAGCGGTGACAGTGAACAACTGGTCTGGTGTGCTGCACCCATAAATGTTATGATGAGGGTAACTAATTTCATTAATCAAATGTTTACTCACTTGAAGATATCCAACATAAATATACAGAAAGTCAGTATGGACAAGTTCAGTGAGGTAAGAAGATGATGTAACCCCATTGTGAGTAGGGAAGCATAACCCATTGTCATCATTGATTATAAGGGAATAACAGTGTAATTTTATCATTATAAATTAGTAAATTCATGGATAAATGCTGATAGGATGATATAAATAAAAATTAGATACATTTTAAGTCCCCAAAATATATAAACCAATTTAAAGTTAGTGTTCATCCTGAAGAGTGTACCCTTACTTGAGAATTGTGTATACCCTTACTTGAGGACTGTGTAGTGCTCTGCAACCAACACTTTATAGTCATTATAATTTAATGTGTAATTTGCGTTCTTTTGAAGAATTTATTGAAAATTCTATGTTCTCATCCAAGAATATCAATCCACCAGAAACAATGTTCACTACTTTTGATATGCTTGTTTCTAAAGAGAATACTGAAGTTTGAAGGAACTTCTAAATTTCATTAAGTATATAACAAGAAAATTAATAGTTGTTTAGGAGTTGTCAGTGAAAGTCTTGTCAAAACTTGTGTTTGTATTTTTGTTAGACAGCAATATCTCTTTATTTATCTTCTGAAACATTTACTGTTAAGCGCATCACAGATTTTAAGGACATGTCATCATTTTGGACAGATTTGTTCAAGTAATTGTCATTTCATTTGCTAAATAACTGAAAAGTAGTGAAATTTTCCAAGAGTATCAAATGAAAAATGATCAATCTGAAACCAACTGTAGCTCTATTTTTGGCTGAAAATAGAAGTAAGCACAGCAGATGATCTGAGTTTGTAAGTTTGTAGTGTGATTAACCTCAATGAAATACTGTGAAGTAATACTGCAAGAGAATAAGATTTATTACAGAACACAATGAGTTTGTAGTTTAAGATATAGCTTGGCCTAGCAACTTGGTTTTGTTGAATTTTTATAAGAATAATTTTGACTTTTCAGTTTAATGCTTGGCGTAGAGTGTACATTTCAGCATAAATCTGCTTGCCACATAATATGTTAACACTTTCTTATAAATCGTATAAACATGTTTGTCTTTCCTGTAAGAAGACATAGTATATGAAGTAGCATATAATTTTATTGTGATTTGGGCAAAAGACCAAATGTAGACATATCATCAAAGAAAACAAATGCAGCATTGACAGAATTTGAATTTAAGTAATAAATTTTTCCAAAACCAGAAGTATTACCACCACTGCTGCTATTGCTGCTGTTGCTGCTAATACTTCTAGTCTTCTTTACTGGTGCTGGAACCATGCTTGGGTCTCAGCCTCCTCCATGGTTTTGTAACAACAAATTTTTCTGGAGTGGTCCTCACAACCAACCTACAACCTGGAGGACCAGGACTACACTTCATCTGGCCCCTTCTCTTTGACCTCTCTGGCATGGGTGGCCCTATCAGGAGCTTAAATTCCTGCCAGCATAGTTCTCTGGATCATTTTGTAATGCAGACCTCCTCCCCAGGATAAGGCAGAAGTCCTTGAGGAAGAATACTACTAGCAGTAGTAGTAAGATTACTAGTAGTTCTATCAGTAATGGTGGTGATGGTGGTCATAGTAGTAGTAGTAGTAATAGTAGTAGTAATAGTAGGAGAAGTAGGAGGATGAGGAGGAGTAGCAGCAGCAAGAGTCATTCTATATTCATCATCAGTAATCTGTCAGACGACAGGTCCACAGTCTCTTCCAAAACAGTTCCTTCACTTAATGTGATCATTCTATATATAGATGATTAATAATTCTTTACTCATTATGTATTGGCTTTCCAGGTATCTGACATTTTAATCCACTTGCCATGTAAAATGCAATTAAATATTTCTTCTAATTTCAAATATTCTTCATCTAATCATTGAAGCATTTGAATATCTGTTCAGGTGAAGAGTGGTGGGAAGGAACCTCCACAAATCTTGGAGCCATTAAAGAGCATGAGTGTTGAAGAGGGTGAGACTGTGGTGCTGAGTACACAGGTTGTAGGTAACCCAACTCCAGAAGTAACGTGGCTTAAGAATGGGAAACCATTGACAGACCAGCCTACTCACCAAGATGGTGATACATACACACTAATGCTGCCGGAACCAACCCCACAGGACACAGCACAGTACACGGTCCAGGCTAAGAATAGTGTTGGTTTTGCTGAGACTACTGCAACTGTTGTGGTTGAAGGTAATCAACTGGTTTTTGTTAATCTGGCTTTTATTTAGATGGTGAATTAGATTTATGTAAACTAAGCATCTCCTTATTTCAACAGTAGTTTGCTGTAAAGAAAAGTATGCATGCCAGATTGAAGCCCTGATTCAGAGTGATACACATCCTCAAACTTACGCAGTGTGGTTTAAAATGACAGCTTTCAGAAGTGCAACGAAATGCAGGGTGCAGATGTAATTCAGTTTGTGCAATGTATCTGTTTACCATGTTTCATGGTGTATGTATGTGTATATATATATGTATATACAGTAGAACTTGGTTATAACGTCATCAAAGGGACCTAAAAATAGTGTCGTTATAAACGAATGTCGTTGTAACCGAAATGGGCACTTCCACAGTAGTCTTATGTTAGTCACGTAAAAATCTACCAAAAACCGAGTTAAAATGTTGCATTTTTTAGTGAAATACATAGTTAAGTACAGACTAACATAACATTAACGTGGAATTGCCCAAATGTATAATATCAAAGACATATTACAGCGCTTTTCACTGACAATACACACAGTATTTCACGAATCACTTTAACTTTCTCTTCAATGCTTAAAACTTTCCTTTTCATTGCCATGTTTTCGCTACTGCACTTCTCTGGGTTTAGGCAGGAACACTATAGGGTAAGTAGACAATGTGAGGTCCTGTTAGATGAGATTCTAGGAAAGGAATGCAGTTAACAACCTGCCGCGTCCTCTTGCACTATTCACGCAGTCCCACCCCACACCCTTGTTTTCGCATAAAACCCACGCTCCTCTTGCAGCCCGCGGTCGTATNTTTACTATATATATATATATATATATATATATGCAACCTGGCTTTCTAAATGAGTATCCATTAATCTTCAAAGCATGTTTTCTCTGAACCTTAGCCTTTAAGAGACGCCTAATGTGATCTGAAAGGTGCTCCTAGCAGTTATACTTGAAAGAATAATAGTATATTCTTGTGATTGCTTGCAAAATAATATAAATTAATACATTTATCTTCAACTAGATTTATGGTTGCTTAAAACTGAAATCCTAGTTTTGAAGAATTTTTTATTTTTTCTGCTCCCTTCATTCTCCGTGTTTATTCATGGAGGAACCTAAAATGTGAAACACAGAAAATTTTTTGTATTTTGAAAAATGTTATGTAATCAAAGAGATTAGTTTCTTCTACTGGTTATTTAACAGTACTGTCAGTATCTAGACTGTATAGTGTTGAATGCTATTATGAGAGATGAATGCTGAATTGGAAAGTGTCTCTGTGGTCCAGTGGTCAGCATTCCTGGCTACAGATCCTGAGGTCTGGGTTCTATTCCCGGTGCTACGAGATTTTTTCTGAGAAGTATTGGGTCTGCAACGTGGTCCATTCAGCCTCGTGATGATAAATGAGGAGCTATTTCAAGGAAATAGCGGCTGAGTCTAGAAAACCGAAATTAACGGCTGTGGGGATTTGTTGCGCTTACCACGCAACACCCTCTATCCACAAAAGTTGGCACTAAACTTTGCCAACAAACAGCAGTCCCTGGGTCGGTATAGTTCACTTGCAGACTAAAATCACGGGAGATTTTTGTAAGGAAGTAGTTATGGCCTTATCAGTGAATGTACTAACCCAGCATTTGCCTGGAGAAGGTGAGGAGAACCGTGAAAAATTTTTAGTCAGGATTGCCAGTATCCTGTGTATGACTAATCAAGCACCTCTTGAATATGAGTCTAGAGCATGTCAACCTGTTCAGTAAACTAGATTAGTGGAGCTTGGCTAGATACACCAGAAATGCCTTTTAATGCTACATTATAAATATAACAGACTCCAAATTTTTCTTCAGGTTGGTTTTATTGAATTTTGAAACTTGTAAAATTAAAGGTAAAGTTGTCCCTATGCTTGATTAATTAAATACTATACCATGATGGCACGTGGTGGAGTGGAATTATAGTTCCACCTTGGCACTAGATGAAGGTGGGTGGTCAGCTTAATGCCCCAGCCGCTTTACCTCTGGGAAAAGAGCCCCCAGTGCTCATTGGAAAGGAGGCTGGGTGCACCACCAACCCAGCCACCTTACCTTGGGGAAAAAGCCCCCAGTGCCCATTGGAAAGGAGGCTGGGTGGGCCACAGAGCTTGTCTGGATGCTGTGGAGTAGAGAAAAATCTCTTGCCCCAGCTGGGAATCAAACCCTGGCCATCCAGCCTGTAGCCTATTGCTATACTGAAATATGTTTGTCTAACTCTCAAAACACAGGTACTATTTACTAACTCAAATGTTTCAATTACAGAGCTACCATTCGATAAAGCAGAACCTCCTCTATTTCTGGAAAGGTTTGAAGAAGAGAAAGTTCCAGAGAAGGGAACATTACGTTTATTGGCAAGGGTGACTGGAAACCCTACCCCTATAATCACATGGCTAAGGTACTCACACAACATTAACATCTTTGCCTTAGATTCTAAAGCAGGGGTCTCCAAACTTTTCGAAACGTGGGCCACATTAGGTGTTTCAGCACTTTCAATGGGCCAGATAAAATGAGAAATTAATAACTCTAGGTATATGAGTTTTATTGAAAGCACAGAATTTCATAAACTAAATACAAAGTACATGAGAATAAATTATCGTATATTCATGACAACAGACAGAAGCAGCAAATGCTCATATTTTCATCACAAATTATAATAAAACAATTAATGTGAATGATGGAACTCTTTTTCCATTCTTAAAATCTGATTAAATTGAGGTTCAAATTTTGAAACGCTAATCACAAGTAGCGACTTTAAATGTTCATTCGATAAATTTGCCCTTTATTTTGACTTGATGTACTTCATCTGGGAAAAGTTTGTTCACACAGATATGTCATTCCAAAAATGGAGATAAATTTACAAGCAAATATCTTTAAATTTGGAAATTGCTCAGAGTTCAGAAATTTAGAAAATTCGATCAAATTTCTTTCCTTGTATTTGTCTTTAATATGATAATTTTCCTGAAGTTCAATAATTTCCATTTGAATTTGGCTTGGGACATCAGCAGCATCACAGTCAAATGGATTTTGAAACAATCTAATTTCCTGAGCACTGGCATCCAATTCAGCAAATGGCCTCCAAAATTTTTCTTTCAAATTTAAAATTATGAATAATATTAATATTAACATAATATGGAATATCAATATATTTTAAACACAATCGTAATTAATGGATTTGAAATCTATGAACAAGTAGTTTCTTTACCAGTACTCATTGGAAAATTAGTTCAGTTGGCACATTTCTGCACAATTCTTTCATGGGCCGGATAAAATCACGTCGCGGGCCGTAGTTTGGAGACCCTTGTTCTAAAGGGTTCTGACAGTGGTATATAATGCTCAAAATTACTGGGTTTTTGGACTTTGTCCATCATCTGATATTCTGAAGAACATTAAAGAACCTGACATTTCAGAAACGACCTATTTCCATCCTCAGGTGAAGGGATGGGTTGGTAGGTGTTTCCCACCCCTTCTACCCTTTCCATCCTCAGGCAAAGGGGTGGGAGACACCTGTCCACCTACCCCTTCACCTGAGGATGGAAACAGGTCCATTTTTCAAAATGATATGTTCTTTAGTGTTCTTCAATATACCAGATGACAGACAGTCCAAAAACCCCATAATTGCACTTCTTCCTTTAGTGCAGCTGCTCATCACCTTCGGTTCAGTGTTTGTTTGGTCATGCAAATATATTCATAATCCTATAAATTCAGATTATACAGAGAACTAATATTGGGAGAATAAATATTAAGATAACCAATATAATATGCCAGACCACTTATTCTGCTTCCTGGTAAAACGATTAGTAATAGTAAATGTAGATCAATACAGTATTTGATTAATGGAATGAAATCAAATTTTGGTACTTTTGGTGAACAACAAGAAATCAAATTCTGAACCCCTTTGTGCCTTGCTTGGTCACATAAATGTACATGAATTCATTTTAACAAGAATTATAGCAACCCCATGTAAGACCTTGTTTATGCTATGAAATGTATTTACTGTGCATTTTAAGGTGAAACAGTAATGTGTAAGAGTGTTCACTTTAGAATTACTTTGTAATTGCTTTAAAGTGTCCAACAAACACAAGATAATTGAAAATTACTTTTGTATGACTGTTATGTGAAATTCTTACGGTTCTCAACATACAAAGCCTTCAAATATATCTTACAAAGAACACATCTGTGAAAAGGCCTGTTTGTTAAGCAATAAAATCAAGTTATATGCCAAGAGTATGCTCTTCAATTCCCTTCCTCAGTATGGTATCTTGTGTTTTAAAATTTTGCACTAGAAATGAAATACTAAAGCTCATAATTGGGAGGCCATTTTTGTCCATCTGCATATTTCCTACCTTAGAATACTGAGTAGATTTTCTTTAATTTTCTTTACTGTGTGTGTACATAAACTTTGGTGAGTGAAATTGATTATGTATTGCATCAGTCCAGTACTACCCATGGATACTTTGTATGAAGCAAAAACTGAACAAGAGTCCTTTAGGTCAACATGTTTCTCTGTGTTTAGTGTCTTACGAACCATTTCAGCTTAAAGATTATGGTCTTTTGCTGTGTTAACACTTTGTAATTTGGTAAACAATTATAAATATTTTGGAGGAAAATACCACCTCCATTTTCTTCCCTCAAGGTGGAGCAGCAAGTCCTTCTGAAATTCTGGTATCCATCCACATGCTTCGGTAGAGCTGATGGCTGTTAAGAGTGCTTCAATTTGGAAGGCTGTAGCTAAGATTAGGCTTATAAAAGAGCCTGGCGGTGCACATTTTACCCAGCACTGGTGTGAATGCTTAGGACAATTGGAAGTTGTTCTTCTGTGATAAATACTCAATATTCAGTCCCCCAAACTTCATAGCACCACATCCCAGAAAACCAGAATCTTAATACACTGTGAGCTCCCCAAAGCACACATTTGAATTTATAATAACATATAACAAAATTAATTATGTTGTAACTTTTCTGAATTGGAAGGTATACTACAGTTCAAGATCCAGAAATTTCTATCCTGTTTCCATCTCAAGAAATCACATTATACAGTATCATTGCAATGTGCAATATGTAACAATACACAAGTCCCAGAGTGGTTCCCAACCACATAGCAGTCTGACCAAGGGAGTTCACGCCAGTAACACAGATGAACAGATTGATATTATAATAAAATTTTACAATTTAGTATAACTTTAACCTTTGTTTATTATACAATTGCCTTGCATCCTGATACCAAAGTACAGATTAGTTTAAATGCTGTATTTTATGTTGTTAGGGACAGCATTCACTCTCTATGGTAACTACATGGCAGATGGTACTCTATTTGTAAGATTGGAAAAAGAATTAGTACTTAACTTCTGCACGTGTGCTGTTTCATATGCACGGGCATGTGCACACATGCACAAACACATTAATTGAATTATGCATGTAATGTGCCATTGAGCATGAAAGCAAAGGCATGTGTTTTATCTCTCCAACAGAAACAACGAAGTCTTGAAACCATCTGATACAATAGCACAAACATTTGATGGTGAAACAGCTGTGCTGGAGATACGAAACGCAGATTCTGAGGTAGATGCTGGTGACTACAAGTGCTTGGCCAGCAATCCAGTAGGCAAAGCATCTCATGGAGCAAGGGTCATTGTGGATGTTGATAAAGTGTAAGTATTGCAGTACTGGCATACCAAGTGAAAGAACCATGCAGCTGCCAGTTAGTGATGTCCTGTCACTGAGTTTGTGCATGTTAACATTGAATATCTGTGTGCCAATGACAAAGTCTGAAAACTGTTCCTGAATTTAAAAACAAGTTTATAGTGTGTTATCTTAAAAAACTTATGTAAATTAAACTATTGCCCATAGAAACTTTCTGTAGTAGCTGAGCTTTATTTCCTGTCAAAATATTTCATTGTATGAAACCAAATATTCATAACAATCTTTAGACTTTGTCCCAAGCTAGCTGCATCCAGTTCACATCTTCGAACATATTTCTATCTGAACCATTCTTATTTTATTCTGCAGCATATATCTAGGTCATGTAAATGGTCTCTTCCTTCAAGTGTGTGTCTGTTAAACTCAGTCTAGAAAGCTGTACTATTAAACATTTGATTTTGGGGACCTGAATTAATTGAGAGAACATTACATTTTATCCTTTCAGTCACCACACCAGTATTCCCTTTATTTTGAACATGCTGCAACAATATGGCAGAAAGGTAATGTAACAAATGTAAACCCATAACTTCTTGTATGAATAACATTAATGCCTACTGTTTTATTTTTCAGTTTTATGTTTAAGTAAATATTCATTAGCTGCAAAGAATTGAAAATTAAATTCAGTTATAAGCCAGTCACAATCATCTTATTCTACTTTCAGTAGTGCTTTTGGTATTACATTCATCCATTTACTTCATTTCGTAAAAAAGCAAAAAAGTATCTGTATCTTCAGCATGTATATTGTAGACAAGTAACAACCACTGTAAACATTGTCATTTTGGTGACCATTACTCAGATATTATAAGGAATTTATTTTTAATATTATCCTCACTTCCTGTACCGACTTCCTGGTATAATCTTACACAAGTTTCTCTTATAATCATGATAAAACAAAACAATGAGCAGACAGATGCAGTGTAACACTTTACAATTGTATTTGATGGGCACCTTTTCCTTGTCTAGGCCAGGCTGTTGATCTGTTACCCAGCCTGATTGAGCTTCTTCATGGTCATCTCAGTCTCTTCAGACAAATGCAGGGATGATACATGATATAGAACATGTGTACCTCTGGCCAGATCTGTACCTACTTACTGTTCATTATCATTGCCACCTCACTCAATACTATATGTAACATCATAGTTGAAACAGCACTCTTAAATAACCTAGCATTTAATCAGTAATAATTTGTGCCAGGTGACAAAATTTTCTTCTCGACTGATATTTTGAACATTTTCCATCTTCCCAGTTTTCTCAAACCATTGTATATGAATTCCTTACTTTATCTGGTCACTTGCAGATGAATGCAGTACCAGTTTCTGAAACATTTGAAAAACTTGGATCATTGAGAGTGTCCAAAATATCAGTCACAAAAATTGTTATGCACCAATATTAGAAATCATCAATCTTAACTTTCTAAATTTGTTTACTATCACAACTTTATTTCTCAGAAGACAGAGCACAGTTTCTACCACATAATGTCTACAAATCCTTGTCTTCTGCCATAGCCAAATTTAAATTATCAACTGTGGTTCTTGTAATATGTGTAAACCCAAACAGAGAGCTCTACTATCAAAGCTGCATAGAGTCATCACAAAACAATACACACAAGCATAAAGTGATTAATTGTTCTTTTCCTTTTTAGGACCTTTACAAAGAATCTGAAGCAAATTGTTCAAGTGCAGGAGCAAGAAACCTTGAGTCTAGAGTGTGAGACCTCACATTCTGTTTCCACCAAATGGTTTCATAATGGCAAAGAGATAAGTGGCATGGACTATCGTGAAGTAATCCAAGAAGGGCGACTGCATAAGCTAGTCATCAACAAAACTACTGCACGTGATGCTGGAATTTACAAGTGTACTGTCAAAAATCAGACAACAGAAAGCAAAGTGACAGTTAAAGGTATAAATATCAGTATTATTGAAATGGATGAAAAATAATTAGACTATACATTACTCTGAAGTGAATTTAAAATTTCTATAGTAATTTAAACCAAAAGCACATACCATCCAGTATAGTACATAAGCTGCACTTTCACACAAAGCCAACTGTTTTTCGATTATATTGCATATTTTTTATTCAATTAAATAGCTCCTGTACAGATAATATATATCGGGTGTACATGTCATGTATTTTATTACATGATGGTGTATAAGCAAATTGGAAGTTCCCCAGTTGGACCCATCTCAATAGCCAAGAAATTGTGAGCTGTTCTTTCTGCTAGTAGCAGCAGACTATGTGTGTTTCTCATCGCTGGTACATTTTATTGCGTTCATTATTCTCACGATAAATAATAAATGGAGCTAAAAATTATGTTCCTTTGCTTACAGGCAAGCTTCACATCTTGTTAACACATTTTGAAATGCTCTAAGATGCTCTTCTTGTGAAGTGTTCAAAATCTCTCATCACATATTTTCCTTCAGTTTCTCTTGTCATATGCAGATTCTTGATATAAACTTTATCTTTCAGTATGCCCCACAGATAAATGTCACATGGCTTTAAATCAAGGAAATATGGAAGCCACTGATAGATAACTTCTTCGCCATACATTTCTATTAATGCTAACATCAACGAATTAGCCCTGTGAGCTGTAGTACTGTCTTGCATGAAATAACCATAAGTATTTTGCTTATTTACCAGTTATTGGGAAAAGAGTCGAAGTATTAACTTAATGTAACATTCAGAATTTGTGATCTCATTAAAAAAGAGTGGCCCAATTACCTCTCTCGGAGGTAACTGCACACCAGACTTCAACCTTAATGTCATGAAAGAGATGTTAATGCTGCTGATGTGGAATGTGGTATTAAATTCTAAATATACAAAGAAAAATTATTATCAGGAACAGTTTTATATTGAGAAATAAACTTCCCTTACAGTTTGTCTAGCTGCATATAATATGCAATAGTACGCTTATTCAGATGTCACTTACCAAGATAATTTATATCATTTCCAACATCTCTGATATAATGAGAAAAATCAATTAATATGATGGTTGTGGTGGTGGTATTTTTTGTTGTTGTTGTTATAAATTTGTTTTCAATATCTATTTCATGCTGTATAGAGGTTATATTGATGCCATTACAGAGTTGAAACCAGACTTCATAAAGAAACTGCAGGACTTGGAAGTTAAAGAACGACAGAGTGCCATTTTAGAGGTTGAAATATCTTCTGAAACTGCAGATGTCACTTGGCATAAGGTAATTAGTGGATTGTCTCATAATAGGCCTGTGAATGTATCTGCTCAACTTTGCTTAAAAGTGTGTTTATTATTGATATATGATATATTGTGCATTGTTACAAGCAATAGACTTACCACTTCTACAAGAAGCGCTTGGTACAAACCTGTTTGAAGATAATTACCATTATCATGGAGAATTTCATCCATCCTATTAAGGTGCCAGACAGTGAATTTTGTTATCGTAGAATTCCGCAGTCCACTGGTAAAGCAGGGGGCATGCAGTAGCATAGTTGGTTGAGACACTATGCTACAAGCTGGAAGGTCATGGGTTCGATTCCTGATGAGATCATTGGATTTTTCAATTGACTCAGCCTCTAACAGAAGTGAGTACCAGGAATCTTCCTGTGTGGTAAAGTGCGGCCAGCGCCTAAGGCTGACAACCTTACTGCCATCTGTGAGCCGATTGTCTAGAGGAAATATGAGAGTCTTGACATCTCCCAACCCTATGGGCCTCCATGGCCCATTACAGGGATAGCTTTGCCTTTATCTCACTGGTAAAGTGGTGACACTCATGCCTCAGCATTTCATCATGACTGGAACAAGCCTCCTTGGATTGCCTTTTTCAGGAGCTCATTACAATTCATTCAAGATTTCATAGCCTTAATGGTGTTGGCTAGTAGATGTATGGGATAAAATAAGCAGTATATGTAAATGGTGCACTGCAGGCATGTTTCTGTGGAGCTTCCCTTATAATTGGAAATCGTTCTGAAAGTGTTATGGATGTCATGAACAAAATGCCCACAAGATTATTTGATCCCTTTGTTCATGTTTTTGAAGATTTATGCCACAGCCATAAAATATGTGAAAGAAAATTTTAAAGTGAAATGTTTTACCGTATATTACCATTTCATATTTTTTACATGGTTGTAACAATGACATGTCTCTCAGATTATTTGCAGAACGTCATAATTTTGTGGTATATAGTTCGGGAATATTGTTCTCTATTTAAATCCATTTAATCTCTCTGAATGATACACTCGATGATAAAATTGAATGTTAATTTTTCGTAAAACATCTTGAAAGGTAAAATGACAGTGTTCAGAAATCTCTGTGAAGTTTCTTATACATGTTCTAAGGAATCGCCTACCTCCAACCAAAATGAAGAATAAGGGATGAAGGTACTGAACCATAATGCAGAAATATGTAAGAGATTACATTTTTGCTGCCTTGTGGAATTTGAAAGTTTGAATTTCTCAGAAGAAGATACTAAATGTAGTAAAATGTGAAATGATTCTTTTGGAAGAGGTGTAAAGTTGCAGCTCTAAAGGGGCACTTTTAATTGCACAACAGATACAGGCATTATGTGAAATATTCTAGGAAATTGTGAAAAGATTTCATTCGTGTAGTAAATTTAAGGAATTTGCAAGACTGGAAAGAGGTAGTTTTAATATGTTCTAATTTTCGCCAAAATAAAACATGTTAAAAACTACCCAGTTTCTTTATACTAAATTTTAGAATTCAAAACAATCTGAATGGGCCACAGAATTTTCAACTTAGTTTTCTATTTTGCAGAAATGTATAGTACTGTAAGATTACATTTTGAGAGACAGGTAACATATGAAATGTTATAGTGTAGAATGATTGAGATGTGACATGAATGTTTCAGGATGGTGAGCAGATCCAGGAAACACCTGACAAGTTTGTGTTTGAGAAGGAAGGCAGTGTGCGGAAGTTGTTGATTAGAGGCACCTCTGTTCATGATGAAGGAGAGTACACCTGTGCTCTCGGAGAACAGGAATGTACAGCTGAGGTCACAGTTGTAGGTGAGTAAATATCTGCCTTGGAATATTTTCATAGTGTCCACATTAACCTTTAATGGCTGAAGTGCCCTGATCAGGCCACTGATGAGTATGGCCGTCGTGGCCAAAGTACCCGGTTTTGGTCAGTCAGGAATTTAAACTCCGCTAGTGGAAGAGCGCACACACGCCGCTAGTAGAAGCTCATGCACAGTCCTAAATATTTTTTTTTAATTTAGTAATTACCAGAGAGACTTAAGTAAAACCATAATAGAAGAATTAAAATGATACCTAAATGAACAACAACAAAAAAGAATATACATATGAGTTATGCCCAAACTCATCCATGAGCCAGTACTTTTATTGCAGATTCTGCAGATTAATGTGTTAAAAATGTATAGTAAAATTCTATGTACATACCTTTTTTGTTGTTATCTGCTTGATATATATATAGGCTGAAATGAAACTACAGAATTCGATGTCACTATGAATGCACAGAAACAGATCGCACTCTGTATCTCAGCCACGATGGGGCTATAACGGAAAGTCTTAGCGCTGAAGAAGGGACCCCTCTAGCTTTCTCTTGAATAGCCATTCTTTCATTCTTCTGTCCTTTAGTCAAAAGATTAAAAAATCTGAAGTGTGTAAGCAGTGCTAGCAGAAGACCAAACAATTTTATTGCTTCCATCCGTTTTATGACACCAGGGACTGCTAAAATTTGTCAAGTGTTACAAACAGTAATGAATTTATAATGCAGAACAACTCTGTGACGAACTGTGAAACCATTTTTGCAGTACGCATCAAAATTAGAAGAAAACAAATTGAAAATAGGGGATAACTCTTTATAAAAATTTTCAAATCTTCCGTTATAATATGCGACACAATGTTCTTTGCTGATACAAACAAAGTAACTCATCCATTTATCATAAAATTTGAGTTAGATACAGCATTTTTAAACACAATGCTTAAAATTGTTTAAGTGTCCTAGCAGGAACAAACCTTTAAACTCAGATTAACAATGGGCATTTAAACACGCACCAGCAGCGGGCATTTAAATAAACTCCAGCCAGCTCAAACTTACCACCATTTCAGAAGACCGGCATTTAAAGGTTAAAAATATTCTTTGCAATTTTCATTCACATATCTGTATTAAATTAACTACCTGTGTAAGATTACTGAAGTAAAATACCAGTAATACAGACCTGTTACACACCAAGGAAGGTCGTTACCAAGACCCATGTGGAGGGATGAGGTAATAGATTAGTTTTCTGTCATCATTTTGATTTGTCACTGATGAATTCTCACATTTTACACAAAGGAATGGGATCAAATCTAACTGAAATTATTCTGTGGGATGATTGCTTAGTGATGTGGGTGGGTCAAGAAATTCAGGAACAGTCCTAGAGTCTTTTGCAGGCAACCTTATTTGGAAGGAATCATTTTCTGTACAGAATTCCAGTACTACAGTATAACATGAAAGGAGATTCTCAGCAGAACTTTAGCAAGCAAGTGCACTCACACATACATGTGGATGCATGTGCAAGTATTGGAACAACCGCTGTAGTTGTAAAGACTTTAGATTTTACAGCCAATTATATATTGTTTATATTGTATGTACATATTTTAACTTTTAGAACATGCTGTAATGGTGGCTTTTAACAGTATTGATGTAAAGGTGTCCCTCTGAAGAGCTTGTACTGACGCCTGAAACTTCTGAGAGTTCTATAATATGATGTCTTGGTTCTGTGTTGTTTGTGTAAACTGGGGGAGTTTTTGTTGTATATATAGCTGATATGTTCTTTTTTTTTATTTGTTTTATATTATGAATGCCTTGACTTGTCACCCATTTTATACTGTGGATGAATTTTTTGTACATACTTGTCGGTAAGATTAATTGTATTGTGACATGTTGCGCAAAGCCGAGCCCCCCCCCACACCAGCAGTGACGCGGCGGGTGAGTCAGCGCTCCCCTCCCACCCCCCAGCGGTAACGTATCGCTCGCGTAATAGGCGAGTAATCACCTCGCATCCTGGCAGCCATGCGCGGTGACGTCACGAGCGGAGCCGAAGAGAGCCGAGCGGAGCCGAAGATAGCCGAGCCCCGTAACCGGGTAACTATGCAAGGCGAATCAACAGCGGTGACGTAACCGGACAGCGTGGCTAGCAACAAGGGTGCCTATTACGTGGCCATATTGTCCGATCGAGGCTACATAGGGAGAAGCGAAGGCTATTCACAGTCAGTTGTACTGTAACAGTCGCCGAGTTGTATTCAGAGTCAGTCAGCCAGTCAGTTGTATTGTGGCATTTGGAGTGTACTAATTATGATACTGCAGATAGCAGTAATCGTAAATCAGTAATTTGGGTGATTGTATGAGCGAATGTGAAATAAAATTCGCTACATCAAATACATCGAGAAGTTATTTGTCGCGATATACCCCGTGATACGCGACAACTGGTGTCAGAAGTGGGATACGAACTTACACACGTGATCAACGAGATTCGTACTCAAAACACGTGATAAATTGGTATCAGAATTTTTACGAGCTTAAATACGCCTCAAAGAATAATTAAACGTACGACTGCTTCGGCTATTCTACTGCTACAAAATGGAGAAACAGGATTTGCAACGAATAATGGAGATGCTGAAAGAGNAAGGCATGTCTAGAAGAAGAAGAGCCGACTTCAGCGAACAGGAAACTTGAGGCGGCAGAACAACAAGAGGTCACTGTAGACGACGTCGTAGTGATACCGGTCAGTGAACCTGCAGATGAATTGATGCCGATTACCCAAAAAGAGATGGTGGCCTGCCCAGTGGACGCGAAACCTGCGGCGGCACAACGAGAAGAGGTCCCGATAGTGATACCGGTCGGAGTGACGACGGCCTGCCAAGGAATGGAGACACGTCCAGAAGAAGAAAAGCCGGCTTCAGTGCACAGGAAACCTGAGGCGGCAGAACTACTAGAGGTACCCATACAAGACGCCGAAGTAATGCCGGTCGGAGAACCGAAGAAGAAAAGGCGCAGGGACCGACATCGACGAAATATAAAGAA